TCCTCTAACTTTGTTGGTTACCTCCCTCAGTCACTGCGTATTGATCTTTTTACCATTTCATATGGTAAGTGCTTCACCTCTTTAATAATCATTTTTTATATCTTTGTTGTAGGATTCTAGGTCTATTTTGTCTTCTTTGAGTATGGTAACCAAAACTGTGTAGCATAATCAAAGTCAATGCAGCATGATTTGGTACTAAGGTGATGCTGATATTGATTGATTTTCTCATGGCAGACAAGGAGTTCAAAGCCATTGGTGAAGTAGGTTAGGAGGGTCATATAAATGGGTGTTAATGGACTTATTCTTCTGATAAATGAACTACTGATTACAAGAAAATTGTTCCCTTTGGAAAGGGATGAACTACCATGATTTCAGTGTTCTAATTAGTGGATGAGCTCATTCAATATACTTAAATAAGCTGGGATAAGGTAAGTACCTATGAACATTGCACAATATTGAATGGCCTGGCTCAGATCTAGGGTATTTAGTTACTGTATGTTAGTTTGCCTTGTTTCCATATTTAATCAATAAGAAGAAAAAACAACTTTATGCTTGTTCTGTAAGTATTCATTCATATAGTTATAGTGACATAGACACACAAAAAGTTCTTAATAGATAATGGTACAGGAATTGAAAGAAAACTTTTTTTTTTAACCAGGTCTGTAAATTCAACCATGTAATGAGCTCCCAGTGAGGAAATTCACTTTAAGGATGCAGGATCAGCTCTTGTTTCGCAAGTTATGGTTTTAGAGATTGGCCTAGGAAATCAAGGGGCTGTGATTCATGAAGAGAAGTTTCATTGAATGAAGGGTAAATATGCCTTAAAGGTGGTGCTTGATCCCAGGTTCTCCTTACTCAGAGGCCAGCCCTTTATCATAGCCTCTTCATCATAGCTGCCTCGAGCTATTATGTGGCTACCACAATTAATGCAATTCAGAACACTTTGGGAGTGTTTTAGTTCTGTTTGTGATAATTAAAGTGTAATATGTAGAGGTCCACAATTATTGCCAAGGTTTGGAAAACAGGAGTAGTACCATTGAGATAAGGTTAAAGAAACAGGAATAATTTAGGCTAGAGAAATTACTGAGATTATTTAATAATATTCTTCAAGCATATGAATTGGTATTAAACAAAGCATAGTAAGTAACCAATGGTTTTTATCTGAAAGTTTGATGTATTCTTTTACTGAGTATGAAAAATGGTATTTTCAGGTCTCCCTTAAGGCAGAGGATAGGTTGGATTCTTCCTATTCTCTCATATTATTGTAGTTCATTATTATTATATTATCATTATTCCAAGCTGTATATAATCTCAACATAGAAAATTATTTAAAGCATATAGACTAGGATCTTATACTCAAAACTAGTTAACAGGCAATAAAACTATAATGTAAACCAGGGCATTACTTAATATGTAAAATTCTATATACATATATGAAATGCGCTGAACACCAAAGAAACATAAGTGTTATGTCAATAAATACCATGTCCCTCAAAGATTATACCTGGTTTCCTAAAAGTAAATATGAAAATTCATGTACAAGGAAAACTCAGAAGAGGCTCAAACTATATAATAAGAAGTGCTCTAGTGTACCCAAATACATTCTAACTCCAAGAGTATCATTTATTATAACTTTCTTAAGGAGTACAGGTGCTCTCTACACATTTAAGACACTAATATAGTTCTCCTGGTAAAGTTTTAAATTGGAGTGTGGGTGAAGGGGAAGGATTTACTATTCAATTGAAGTCATTTGGGTATGGAAAAGCAAGGGAATAGATGGCAGTTGATATGGAATCCATTTAAATAAAAAAAAATTATTTGAATAGGGCTATGAACCGCATGCTTTAGTTGTATTACTGTATAGTAGAATGCCAGTAATTTCCATACCATTTGGCCATTAAAGCACAGAGGACAATGTAGATATTTAAATAACCAAACAATAGATTCTTTCATAGAAATGCAGCAAAGGGTTCATCTGGGTTAGCTAAGATTCCTTTAGCTTGATAATACAAGTTTAGTCAAAGTTTATTGCTTATGATCAATAAAGCTCCTCAAAAATCAGTCAATTTAGTTTTAACCCATGCCAGATAATTGTGTTAAAAACTAGCTAAGAAAATGAATAGATGAAGAATTTAAAAAAAAAATCTAAAATGAAGGGTATGCTGCTAGAACATTCAGTGTTATTACATATAAAATGTTTAGGTCATAAAACTGTGGTTCATGATTGCTATTAGTCTGCAGCGTTTTGCTAAGTATATGAATAACTCTTATAGATACACAGTCAGTATTAATACAAATTTTTAAATAGAAGATTGTTCTACTTTTATAAATTTATAACATTATACATCTACATTTATCTACATTTACAACAAGGTAAAACTTAGTCCTCTTAGTGAAAACCTCATTCTGGGAAATGAACTTATTTCCACAACTCCATCTGTAACCAGAAAAACTAGAAATATTTTCTATAAATGTTTTCAAAAGAAAACCTTTCCCCTCTAACAATGATTAACTTTGGTTACACAAACAAATTATACAACCTCTAAAGCTGTCTTGACCACAGAGATTCCTTTAATAATCTGCATATTATTACACAGTTGATCACCTCCTTACAGGGAGGCTTACTGAAACAATGGATTTACTCAATGTTAGCCTAGATGGGTTAATTTACCTCCCAAAGCACCACTCTTCAAACCAAAGTGTACCACACTTAACCACTGAGTCTAGTCCATGTATGTTAATAGTCCTTGAAATCATCTAACACTGAGAACAGCAATTAATTTTCAGGACAAAAAAGGATAAAATTGTAGTCTTGACTATTCTTCTTTTAGAGGAGAAAACAAATTACCCAGAACCATAGGCAACTTAGCTGGAGGCTCTCATTTATTCTGTATTTATATGCAGGGAATAATGTGTAACAACCTTTGAAACACTTCTGCCTCCTGTGTGAGGGCAGATCTCTCCTTAGTTTCCTCTACTTTCAAGTTGAGAAGAACTACAGCTCACAGAGTCTCGTGGTCAGTCAATACCTTGCCAGAGGTTCTTATATATGTGTTTCCTCAGTATGCACGTGTTAGAAATATCTTTTCACCTATTGCAACAGATTCTATACATACTACCTATGTATAAAACTTCCTCACAAGTCACTAGGATCTCCAGTCTAAGAAGACCAAACCACAGGGATACCCAATAATGCAACTGGGTTTATGGCCAGGTGCATGCTTCTGATTATTTAGTTTTATGAGGTTCACACTGTCATGCAGAATACTTGGTTCCCAACCAAAAGACATTTTCTAATAAAAAGTAAATTACTTTTATAAATGTTATTGTTTCCAGAGAAGTGAGGGCTTAAAAAAAAGAGCCCAACAATTTTCCCATTCCATAGTTCCTATTCAATAGTCCATTTCCCCCATTCTATAGTCCATTTTTCCTACTCTACAATCCATTTCCATTTCACATATAAATGAAAATTACTGACTCTTTGTTTTTCTTCCTCATGGTATCTATCCACACACTTCAGGTTATGGTTCTTAATGAGAATGAAAATTTATGTAATTTATTACATTTGACACCCCAACTATAAGAAATGAAATATTGAAGGAATGTATAGAATTCATACCAATTAAATACCTGAATCATTTTTAAAAGTTAAAATTACAATAAAATTTAAAATGATTTGCAATAAATATCTAGGTTTGATTTGAAACAATCCATAGAGAGTAATCCTTCTATTAACTGGTAAGTAGTATTCCTATCATAAAGTCCATTATGAGTGTGGTATTTGGGAAAAGTTCTGCCTCTGGAGTAAGAAGACCTAGATTCTAATGCCAACTCTGATACTTACTAGCTATGTGACCTTAAGGAAGTAATTTCATCTTCCTAGACTTCTGCTTCCTCATCTTTAATAAGAGGAAGTTGGGCTAGATGGCCTCTGACCACCCTTTCAGCTCGAAATCTATAATCCTATAATCAGAAATTTAATTACTTAATAGCAGGAATAATATGGGAGGCATATTATTTCAGGATGTAGATTTCTCCCATATTTCACCTCAACAAGGCAATGTCTCTTCTTTGGAAAAAAGCAGGCTTTGGACCTCTTGGATTTTAAGAAGGAAGTAAAATTTTTCCTTACTCTCTTTGGATGGGGCTTGACCCAATAGCACAGAGGTGATATAAGGCCTTTGCCCTAGTGGTATTTTCTCCCTCCACTCCCTGCTGACCAAACAAGATGACCTTCCCTCCTCTTTCCTTCCCTCCTCCCTCCCCTTGCTCCCAAGTGTAGCCTTCCCCTTAGATATGCCCTGACCCTGGTCACAACTTGTGAATCCTATATGACAGAGTCACTCTCTCTGCTTCCTCAGTTTCTGCCCCTATGGATCCAGTGCTGAGGAGGCTGGACCATCAAGTAACCTTTATACACAGGACAACGTTTTTCCAGATGATCCTTGTTCCCCAATGAAAACCCAGACAAACTCAACAAAAAGGGAGAGAAGGTATTTCTTCATTTCAGAAAACAATTCTTTTCTTTAAAAAAAAAACAAACAGAAAAACAAAAACAAAAACAACTCGCTAGTAGATTTAATTAGTAACCTCACAGTACAATTAAACAAGAATGGCTGGTTTTTTTTGTTTGTTTTTTACAAAATAATCACTTATGTAGAATTTCTCAAGAACACATCTGTTGTAAAGTGAGGGATAATTGTTGACAGTATTTGACACTTCTCTACTCTGGGGGAAGTATCACATTAACCAACTACTGCAACATGTAGACCTTACTTTATAATAGGTTCAATTTTTGCAGAGTTGCTTTAATATGGAAAATAATTCCATTTGAGATGTGTTTGGGGTTAAGTCTTTTTAATGATTAGTGCCATAAAAATATGTTCTTCCTTGTAAACATGCAAACAAAATATATTGTATCTAAAGATAAGCAGCTCCCTGAAATACATAAATAGCACAAAGTTCTAAGCACACAGAATTAAACACTGTATTTTGCATACCTTTGCAGCTACTGATGAATTAGGCTTCTCTAGCAGGTCCCAGAGTTTCTTCCTTTTTTCAGGACAGCAGGTATTATCAAACTCTTCTCCCTCTCTCTCTCTCATAGTCTCTGCCTCTCGTCTCAACTCTTCATTCATTTGTTCTTTCTTTTGATGGTATCTTGCTTGGCAACAAGACTCTAAGTATATTTCATCAATCCCCCAGTAATCAAGCTCTTGGCCAAAAGAGAGGGCACACATTTCTTCCATCATGTGGAGTTTCCCTGTCCTGTAGAAATTTAAAATGGACGTAAAAGCTCCTGGATGCCGATCAAAGAAATATTCGTTCTCATTCAAATTGTAGTCATCGCACACTTCCAGAAGAGTTTCATGAGTATTACAGTCTCGGAGCTTCCCTAATCGTGTTCTTGGAAGTCTATCCAAGGTCCTCCACAGCACTTCATGGTTTAGGCCACCTACATTTATTTTAACTCTCCGGGAACAATTTTTACTTCTGATGATCTCCACAGGTTCTGGAGGAAGGGAAAGAGTAGACCTTGAAGTCTTTCGATTTAGGCCAGGGGGAGCCTTCTCTGCCATTTTGAACTCGATGAGCCTGAAGAGCCAATATCCTTCAATGAATGAGTAGTAGGATTATCAATTGAAGTAATAATCCATCTCAAAGTGTATTTCTATTGGCATAACTGTAAGAAACCAATAACAAACATTTATTGTCTATGTCTCAAGCAATAATAATCACAATATTTTTATAGAATGCTCTAAGCTTAAGTACCTTCCTCAAAATAACCATAAGGATAGGTAGAGCAAGTATTTTTATCCCTATTTTGCAAATGAGAAAATTGAGGGTCATAGAGATTAAATGTCTTGGCCAAGGTTATACAAGGCAGTAAATTGCAGAGCTGGGATTCAATTCCAATATGGTTTCCATTGTGCCATACTTTCCTTTATGTAGCTAGTAAATATCAGCTATGGGTTGTGAACACATATCCCCTAACTCCAAGTCAAATATTCTTTCTATTATCCCTTATTTTATACACTGTTAAAGAAGATATAATGCAGAATTACTACTTGGACCATGGTAAGCAAATACTCATTTTATGGCCTGTTGTATACTGTATCCAGTATTGGATGACACCAAACACAGTGACCAAAAGGCCATGCTGACTTCTATATTAACTCTACATTTATGCTAAATAGTATTATTTTCTCCTTTAGTGCTCTTACTGCATAATCTGACAAAACAATCTAATGAATCCATTTCAATAAATCAGACAATTTATGGAATACCTATTATGTGTGAGGTAGTACAAAGGATGTGGAGAAGAATAAGACATGGTCCTTGTCCACTTGGAGCTTACAGTCTAGCAGGCAAGATAATACATGCTCAAAAATGACTATAATATTGGGGCAGCTAGGTGGTGCAGTGGATAGAGCACCGGCCCTGAAGTCAGGAGGACCTGAGTTCAAATCCGACCTCAGACCAAACACTTGACACTGACTAGCTGTGTGACCCTAGGCAAGTCACTTAACCCCAATTGCCTAAAAAAAATGATTATAATACAAAATATACTTCCAAAATGCAATAATAGAGACACCAAGTGCCATGTAAGTTCAGAGAGAGACAACTTACATCTAATTACTTTTAAAGATCAAGTCTCCTCCAAAGAAGGCTTTGTTTACATACTTCAATTTAATTCAATTCACTAAACATATATTAAACATCTAATTGGTTCAAGGCATTATCATAGATTCTGGGAATAAAAAGGCAAAAAAAATCTCTAGTCAAGAAGCTTACTATTCAACTGGGGGATGCAGCATGAATACAGGTAATGAAGATATGAGGTAGAGAATGATGGAGGGGTGGCAAAAAAGCTCAAAACACTTTAAGAAAGTCTGAGAATGGGAGATCTTGATTACTAGGAAGAATCATTAAAAGCTTCAAGAAAGAAGTGGCACCTGAGTTGAGTCCTGAAGGGAAATCAGAATTTCAAAAGGAAATGAAAGGGATAGATTGCATACTGGGCAATGCACAAGGATATGGAGATGGCAGTAAATGATACACAAAAGAAAGTAATGTGCAGGAAAGTTGGAAATACAGTTTGCAGACAGATAATGGAGGATTTTAAAATGCCAGTCTTCAGTGGTTGATATTTTATCCTGGAAAAAAGTCACAAATATTTGTGGGGGCGGGGACAGGAAGGAAGCGAACCTGTTGGAACTATACCTTAGGATGATTATTTTGGCAGTTCTGTGAACTGTGCTGAAATGGACTAGGGAAGGAAGAGACTTGGATCAGATGAAAGGAGACCAGAATAATAATTGATTGAGTAAAGACTATTGTGAGAGACGTTATAGAGAGAGAATTGATGTGACTTGGCAGGATTGGGTGTGGAGGAGTGAGGGGAAGTGAAGGGTCAAGGATGACATGAAGATGATCAACCTGCATGACTATGAAGATGGTAATACCTCCCAAAGAGGATGATGGAACCCTCAACATAAACAGAGAAACCTTTTAAAATATATAGAAAATGGAAAGATAGAGTTAGAAGGACTGCTCTTCCAAACAGAGAATATCCTGAACAAGAACATAGCGGTGAAAAATATATTACAGGTACAGCAAATAGTTAAATTTCGTTAGAACGAAGGGTACATGAAAGTGTGCAAGAAATAAGACAAAAATATTGTTTGAGGCTAAATATTTTAGGAACTTGAATACCAAGTGAATGTGTTTAGGCTTTACACAGTGATTAATGAGAAGCCAATGAACGTCTCTGAGCAAGGTGATGATGTGACAATATGATGGATTCTACATACAGCTTAAAAGTTTTATCTTCCAGAAATATTTTTCTCCAAGTACTTATCCTTTATGATGTTTTTTCTTGGATATGTGTTACTATGACCTGCAGCATCTTCTTAGTTTGGTCTTTCCCTACAATCTCTTAGCAGTGAGCCCTGATGTTTCAAACATTTTCCCTAGTGCATCTTCTTTTCGTTAAAACTCTATGCCTTCTCAAAGCCTGCAGCATAAGCCACTCTATAAAGAGAAGTTTCAACTTTTAGATGTAAGAAAGTTCTTATAATTAGAGCCTTCCTTTGAGGTATATACCAATTCCAGCAGGAGTCAGGCTTCCCTGCCCCTGTAGTGCAGCATCCCTTCTAATGGATAGGTTTCTTTACCAATCTTGAGACCATATCTTCTCAAATAGAAAATAATTCAAGCTTAAGAGATTTAGACTTGGCAAATTCAATGGATTTGATATACTCAACAAATATCTTTTGAATATGAATTTTATTGTGTTTAATATGTATGAGTTCAAGATTAGGCACACTTTGCTTTTAACATACTTAAAACAATATAATCCAGGTATATAAAAGCAATAAAATAAAATGAGTACTCATTTTACAGAAAGATACTTTATTTTACAAAATGATTCAGTATAGTTGTTTTACAGCAGTTTCTACTAGGGCAAATAATTAAATTGCTAAAAAATTTTGAGATAATTCAGTTGCTGAAAAATATATTTACATAAAGCTTTACAGGAACACAGATACTCTGTGTTGTGTAGGACATCCATTTGGATTAAATCAACAAAAGGGCTTGCTAATAGTCACCATTTCCAATGTCCATTTCCACCTCCCACCACCATCTCATCAACTTGGAAGTAGTGGAATAACACTAAGAAATGGAGGTTAAAGTCGACTGAATATGTAGCATGTTGAATTCCTTGTTATATTTTTTCTCTCAGCTTTATCTCTCTGATTGGAGTTTAGGGCAGGGGTCACTGTGTCTTAAAGTTTTCTGCCTTCCCCACAGTGTCAGGTAGAGTGTCTTGTAAATATTAGGCACTCACTAGATATGTTTTGATGATGCTGATGAATCTATCTATGAGTGTTGTTGTGAACTCAGTTACCAATACTATAAAGTACACCTTTATAGAACAGAAACATCTGAAGAACAGCACTACCAGCAAATCATATTACAATCTTATGCTTCCGTGGCCATCTACTTTATATGGATAGATATGCTATATTGCATTAGATCATTCTGTGATCCATGTGGGCATTTAGAACAGCCATAGTGAATGGTCAGCCGGGCTGTCAACCATTTCACTGACTCCAAGTAAGCATGGACCATATTTATTGTTTTTGAATACCACATTTTCCACTTAATTTTTCTTGTAAGTACAAGACCATGACTTATGTTGCTCAGACTGACTCCAGTGTATTATAGGAAGTTCCCAGGAAGGACTGAAAGCAAAAATTAAAGCAGTGAAAATAGCTTATATGTAAACTATGGCTGATTATAACTTACTTTACTAAAAGTCATGTTATTAAAGGCAGATGTGATAATATTTCCATCATCAGGGCATTAACTATTTTGAACAGTTAAAATGTCATAGATTAAACTGATCTTCATTTCTGATATTAGAGCAAAGATTGAAATCAACTCAAAATTGTGGGTCATTCAAAGGGTGATGGAGAGCACATGCTGGATGTAAATTGGCTACAGCATATTACTAATGAAGAACTATTGACAAGAAGTGTAAAAATATTTATCAATGAGATGGGTGACTGGAAAGGGAAGTGAGTTGGTCAGTCACCAAGAATTATTAAGTACCTACTATGTGCAAGGCACTGTGCCTATGTGTAGAGAATGAAGGAAA